GTTTATTTATTTTTTCATTTTCTTTAATTTTTTTAAAATTTATTTTGTATTTTTTTTTACATCTTTATTGGAGTATAATTGCTTTACAATGGTTAGTTTCTGCTTTATAACAAAGTGAATCAGCTATATATATACATATGTTCCCATATCTGTTCCCTCTTGCAACTCCCTCCCTCCCAGCCTCCCTATCCCACCCCTCTAGGTGGTCACAAAGCACCAAGTTGATCTCCCTGTGCTATGTGGCTTCTTCCCACCAGCTATCTATTTTACATTTGGTAGTGTACATATGTAGCGTACATATGTCCATGCCACTCTCTTGCTTTGTCACAGCTCACTCTTCCCCCTCCCCATATCCTCAAGTCCATGCTCTAGTAGGTCTATATTCCTGTCTTACCCCTAGGTTCTTCATGACATTTTTTTTCTTAAATTCCATATATATGTTTTAGCATACGGTACTAGACTTTCTCTTTCTGACTTACTTCACTCTGTATGACAGACTCTAGGTCCATCCACCTCATTACAAATAGCTCAATTTCATTTCTTTTTATGGCTGAGTGATATTCCATTGTATATATGTGCCATATCTTCTTTATCCATTCATCCGATGATGGACACTTAGGTTATTTCCATCTCCAGGCTATTGTAAATAGAGCTGCAATGAATATTTTGGTACATAACTCTTTTTGAATTATGGTTTTCTCAGGGTATATGCCCAGTAGTGGGATTGCTGGGTCATATGGTAGTTCTATTTGTAGTTTTTTAAGCAACCTCCATAGTGTTCTCCATAGTGGCTGTACCAATTCACATTCCCACCAGCAGTGCAAGAGTGTTCCCTTTTCTCCACACCCTCTCCAGCATTTATTGTTTGTAGATTTTTTGATGATGGCCATTCTGACTTGTGTGAGATGATATCTCATTGTAGTTTTGATTTGCATTTTTCTAATGATTAATGATGTTGAGCATTCTTTCATGTGTTTGTTGGCAATCTGTATATCTTCTTTGGAGAAATGTCTATTTAGGTCTTCTGCCCATTTTTGGATTGGGTTGCTTATTTTTTTGTTATTAAGCTGCATGAGCTGCTTATAAATTTTGGAGATTAATCCTTTGTCAGTTGCTTCATTTGCAAATATTTTCTCCCATTCTGAGGGTAAGCTAGCTGGGGGTTGCTTCCCAAGCAAACTTGAATTTATCATCTCAAGAGAATTGAGGTGCATAAGAATCACTGATTGATTGTAAGCCAGAAATTTGGCTGATACTTGAGACCAGGAATTACTTCTGTCCTCTCCAGTCTCAGTAAGACTGAAACAGATTACAAAATAATGGGCATAGTATGAACATATACTTTCTCTTGCATCTTCCTTTTTAAAAATTGTAGATCTTCGTAATTGGAACTTTCTGCTTATCATATATTCATTTCACCTAGCTAACTGTTTTTCTGCTGGGGCTTGGAGGGAATCGAATGAGTAGCACCCTCCTCTTCATCTAGTTTCTGAACCCATTAAAAAATTAGACAAAGTGAAAGCAGATGAGAACTAAAACATTACTTCTATTCCTGATAAAGTTTATCCTAGAGTACATGGATTAAATATGAGAACTAGATAGGATTGCTAACTCCCAAGTTTGTGCCCTCGTTGAGAAAACCAGAGAGGGAAATAGAGTTTGCAGAGAAATAGTGACTGAAGTTGGTGTTTCTCAAGGTTTAACAAGTCACATTAGCTATTTTGTTAAAAAACAGGATCTCATTTAGCAGCTCTGGATGGGTTTCAGTTTTAGCTTTTCTAACAAACTCCTAAGCGAAAGTAAAGTTGCTTATCCGGGAACTATACTATGTCTCCTAATGTTAGATAGAAAAACAACTGGAGGGAAAATACACTAATATCAATCATTAGGACAAATACAATGAAAACTAAGAAGCTTAATTCTCCCTGTTGAAACAAGGGAAGAGATCTTCCTCCCCTTATTTTTCTCAGAGCATTTACTTTAGAAAACTTGTAATTCTGAGTACTTTTTACTCTCTTTGAAATGTTTATAAATCCTCTTAAAAACTAGATAGGACTTTTGTCAGCTTTATGACTTAGGGATGTATTTTTCAAGGGCCTGGAAGCCATTTCTTTGAAATGTAATCCTCAAGGAAGACAGCACCCCTATTGCACAGCTCCTGTGGGAGGGGAGGAGTCTATCTGGTGGGACCTTAAGCCAAGTTGTAAAATTACCTACTGTCACAAAGTTTTGAAAAGTGTGCTTTTTCCCCCCTCTGGATAAAGCTAATTAGCTAACTCAGATGGTCACGCCAACTACTGGGTAAAGTAAGGATGAACTTGTGTGACAAATAGTGCTGTTCAGTCCTTTTACTTAAGAAGTAGATATTGTTTACCTGGAAAAAATATGGCTAATGAGTTGTATCTGCTTGGCTGCATGGAAGGGTGAGACTTCTCTCTCTCTTTGCGATCTCTTAGCATGTTGCCTGTGATGTGTATTACATTCTGGTTTCATGCTTATTCAATAATAAAAGTTTTTTCTAGTACTTTTGTGGAGAGGTTTTCTGGATTGTAAAAGTTTTTTGTTTGTTTTTAATTTGTTTTCCCAACATTGTCACCCATCTACTGCAATACTACTGGTTCACTATCATTTCAATGCAGTACTACACAGTCTGAGGTTGGTGGAACACACAGATGTGAAGCACTGACTATGGGACTTGAGCATCTACAGACTTTGGTATCCAGGGCAGGTCCTGGAACCAAATCCCCATGGAAATGGAGGGGCAATTGTATATTATATATTCCTATTATCATTAATAGTCATCTTTAACATTGAAAATATTTACAGATTATTCTAAGATTATATAGAGGTATTTATAAAAATAACTTATATTCTAGAGATATCAATGTAGTAAAAAACCTGAACAGTATCTTAGAAAAACTATCCTCATTGATGGTATTTTCTGTATGTCTTTTATTTAAGTATGCCTTATTAATTAAACAGCCAAATAGTAAATCTTGTCTTTAGCAGAAATTTTACCCCAAAGGGCAGTCTTTAGCATAGCTGAGTAAGGACCTGCATAAATTTCATGCTATGCATGTTTTAACTACATTTTAAAAATCATTGATACTTCCTTAACGCCTTAGCAGTTTACAAAGTTTCAAGAATCCTGGATTGGAGTCATGGCAGGGTAGATGGTAAGTCCTGGCACTCATGTGAACTTGGTGGACAATATACTTTTCAGTAAATGGCATGGTAATATCCCTTCTTCCTATCTCATATAAGCTTAGAGTTTATTGCTCAAACTGCTTTTCAATGTCCTTGTATGGTAAATTGGGTGTGTACACTCATGGTATGAAATATAAGAGGCAGTAGGCTAATATGACAAACATATAGAAAATAGTTGATTGAATGCAGCAAATTTGGGGAAAATTCCCTCTAAGGAAAGAAAAAAGTTTGTAAAAATATTGATAAATTTATTAACCAAGTTTTAAGTATGACCACCACAAAGCTTTACTGATAAAAAAATAGATATACACCATTTTATCATTCCCTCTATTTAACATTTCAGAAATAAATTGTCCACCTCAGTTAGCTAATATTATCCGTATGTTCTATGCATTGAAGTAAATATGTGGGCAAAGAAGTTGAATATACTTAACAATTCTAAACTGTACAATTAGAAATGGCTAAAATGATAAATTTCATGCTATTCATCTTTTAACTATGATTAAAAAAATCACTGATACTTCCTTAATATCTTATATCATTTTTCTGAAATGTGACTAATAAATTTGATCACATATACACGTTGGGAAATTTTAGATTTCCTAATATTTCCTTGACATAAACTATCAATATTTTCCATGGCTACTAATTTCAAATATTTTTCCACTACCCAGTAATTAAACTCAATTTCATGTTTTACATTGACTCAAAAAGAAGGATTTTCTTGACTTTTCTAGCCCCTGCATGATTATCAGCACTTTCATTATGGGATGGGCATTTTCTAAGCACTATTGCTAGCTGTCTCAAGTGAGTGACTACAAAAGAAAACAATAATTAAAGATTGCATTTGCGGGCTTCCCTGGTGGCGCAGTGATTGAGAGTCCACCTGCCGATGCAGCGGACACGGGTTCGTTCCCCGGTCCGGGAAGATCCTGCATGCCACAGAGCGGCTGGGCCCGTGAGTCATGGCCGCTGAGCCTGCGTGTCTGGAGCCTGTGCTCTGCAACGGGAGAGGCCACAACAGTGAGAGACCCACGTACCGACCACCCACAGAGCTTCTTTGAAGTCAGGTTCTCCAAAAGACCGACCCAGAAGTCCTGTTAGCTCTGCCCTCTGAAGGTTCGAGGATAGGGCCTTGCCGATAGCGAGTGCTCAATGATCTCAGTAGGCGATGAGTGCAAATCTGCTTACCTCATGTAAACCCTCTACATTTTTAGGAGGCACCCATTACTGATGTGTGTTACTCAGCATTATGGGAGTTACATTCTTTCATACTGTGGTTGGCATGCAGTTTACTGCCTTGGTGGAGAGAGATAACCAGTGAGCAGGAGAACAGTGTGCTGCTGCCTCTTTTTTTACCCCACTATGGACATGTGCCACCAAAAAGTCCTTACCTTTATCCCGGGCTTTATTGAGATATAACTACTTGAATTTTTTTTAAGATGCGAAAAATTTTTAACGGTTTAACTTAAAGAATAATTTAAACTATTACTTTAAGATTGCATTTGCTGGGACTTCCCTGGTGGTCCAGTGGTAAAGACTCCATGCTCCCAATGCAGGGGGCACGGGTTCAATCCCTGGTGGGGAACTAAGATCTCACATGCCGCACAAAAAAAAAAAAAAAAAAAAAAAGATTGCATTTGCTGTCAGCATAGTATTTAGGAAGAAATAAACTTGTGTTTTGATGAAAATATATACTTCTTGATTTTTGAAAAGTCGAGCAATAAAACGCCTATTTCTTGTCAATTTTTTACTCAGTTCTGAATGAAAATTTATTGAAAAAAATACACTGATAAAAGTAAATTTTCTATTTATTTTCTATTTATTAATTATATTTAAAATTTACATGAACTATTAAGGACATTGTGTAATGTTTCTACTATATACTTTAAACAATTACAAACATTGGCATAAAATAATGTGCATATCAATGTAACAAGTTTGAAAAGTGGGGAATGAGAATCTGAAGTCTGCCTTCCTTCTAACAATGATTATTAACACTCCAAATGAATGGATCATAGATTTCTCTCTCAAATTTCTAAGATTCTTTATGAACAAAATTCTAAAGGACTTCAACATGCAATGGATATATATATATAACATTCAGAATAACTAACTTCCATGCTTACACTGAACTCATCATAAGGCAAAAGCCTATAATTGTACTAATTCTTTGGCTCAGTGTGTTCAAAAAGCAAAGCAATGTGGTAAGCTTAATGAAAAAGATCCTTTGTGTTTTCCAGCTTCAAATTGCTAATACAGTTGCAATAAAATCCAACCATCCTCTCAGATTATATACGCAGCTCTGATTTGTTTTCTGAATGCAAGAGACAAGCATGAATCTGTTTCTCTAGTTTGTAGTTTAGGAAAATTAGGAAGAATCATGTTTGTTTTAATAAACATCATTCCACCTCCTGGTATGATCACATCTGAGTAAGAAAATAGCAAATTGATCAAATTCTGTCAGATGAAATATCATGTCTTCTACTCTTGGCAACCTCTTGGTATCTCCACAGATTATAAAACAATTGATTGAACTGTGGTCATGAAATTATCCATGTCACAAATCTCAGTTTCTCCTTTTAATTGCTCAAGAAAAACAAGCCTTTGGTAACTCTAGTTACTGTATGCTACAATACAAAACAAATTACCAATAACCATTCCTGAACTAATACATGACCAGATAGTGTTCCCAGAGCAGTTTGTTTTCTTGTTTCCCATAATTCTGTTTGATCTTCTATTTCTTTTGACTTCAGTAGGTAAATCTACCAAAATCTTTGTTCTTGAAGAATTTTCATCTCAGGAAGTTCTCATTCTTGCCCTCTGATATAAAAATAACCACTCCAGCAATTAAAATATACCCAAATAAAAATAAGTCAAGGTTGCTTGATGACTACTACACAGGCACCTGCTCTCCCAATATTCAAGGAAGCCATCTGTTGAAAAAGATGAAACACAATTTAAGACAAATTTTACTGTCTTAAAATATACAAATTATAATGTATTTAAACCACTCATTTATATGCATGAAAATCATTAATAAATGTGCTTATCTTTTCCCAATTTATCCACAAGTAGTACAATATAAATAGAAACAATGAAAATGACATTTACATAAAAGAATAATATGTATATTGAAGTTTTTTAAACCTGCAATCATTTACAGAATTTTTAATGAAACTAAAAATTCTTTAATGATTTTTAGTGAAATGAAGCTGTTTAAGAAAATTTTCCAGCAGATTTATTCTAGGGCTTGCATGGACACATTTGTGATGATATTTCATAGTGACAGCTTGCAGTATATTTTAGATGAAATAGCTATTTCACTATTGAAGTCATTGTGAAGTTATTTCCCAATATATTATACTGAATTAAATGTGTTATTCATTCATTCTAAACAGAGACATACAGTGATATAGCTTCAATATTTTGCTATTAATAGGCCATAATTACAATTGCTACAGGGTCTATTTTTTTTTTTTTAATTTTATTTATTTATTTTGGGCCATGTTGGGTCTTCGTTTCTGTGCGAGGGCTTTCTCCAGTTGTGGTGAGCGGGGGCCACCCTTCATCGCGGTGCGCGGGCCTCTCACCGTTGCAGCCTCTCCCGTTGTGGAGCACAGGCTCCAGACGCACAGGCTCAGTAGTTGTGGCTCACAGGCTCAGCCGCTCTGCGGCACGTGTGATCCTCCCAGACCAGGGCCCGAACCCATGTCCCCTGCAATGGCAGGCAGACTCCCAACCACTGCGCCACCAGGGAAGCCTCAGGGTCTATTTTTTTAAAAAGTCTACATTATGTTTGTCATTGAAATGAGAACTGAGATTTTTAAAATAATCCTGAATATGAAATTGGTTAGAAATATATTAAAACAATAATTTTTACAAAGTTTATAATGAAAATTTATTCCATAGAGGTAAACTAAGATTTTAGTAATTTGAACTTTTTCATATCAATGATTTTTATTACAGTTTTCTAAGAATAATTTATGCACATAAAAATATTAGGTAGATGAGAAATTACAGGATATTATTTCAAAGAGAAAGGAATAAAATGTAACAAATAAAATAGCTATGAGCAAAATAACCTCAGATCACATACATTATCTTATTGATTGAGAAAGGACATGGTCTCACTCTCTAAATATGAAAATTACCATCATTATCTAATTATCTGTTAGTTCTTTTAACTGTGCTTATTGTTACCTGCCATACCCCTTGCAGGTTAAAAATAAAAACAGAAACAAAACCAAAAATCCTTCCCATATGACTTTTTTTATTCCTTTAATTTAATACCCTATTTTTTAAAAAGCTAATATAACATCTCTTGTCTTTTTCATAGACATTTGCTCAAAATGAGTAGTGAAAAGGGGCATGTGATATATTGATAGCATATTGTGTGTTAAGAATAATTTTTATAGATCACTGTTACCTTTATAATCCCATCATATGTTGTCATCTCTGTATGACAGGCATGTGAATGGAGTGTCAAGAGACAATATGTAAATCTGGTAACATCAATGTCTACAATCTGAAATATTTCTGACTCCAAAATGCACACAGTTTCCATTGTCTCTCTTTTAGTTTCCAATGATTTTGAAGCATTGTTTCACCTCAGAGTCATCTAAGGGACTTTTACAAAGTATAAGTACTCAAGGCTTACCATTCAATAGGAATGGGATGAGTATTGGGTAGATGTACTTTTGAAGTTTCCCAAATACTCTCTGATGTTCATTCAATACTGAAAACTACTATGCATAGTTTCTAGGTGAAGTACAATGTACATACTTTCACTTTATGTCTGTATCTACATTTGCATCTATATTTCTATACATGCTTATATGTGTGTGTAAAAATGAATGTCTGCTTTTTCCCCCTGAGTTTACTATTCCTCCTGTATTTCTTCTACCAGTGAATGCCACCACTTTCTACCCAGTTGCTCAAGACAGGAACCTAAAGCACATCCACGACCTTAGTTTTACCTCCCTCAACCTTGCAGGTAAATAACCATCAAGTCCTATAACTATCTCTCCAACCAACTTAATTATACCCATTCATACTGTCTTCAACCTAGTTCAGGTTACAGTTTCACCCTGAGTGTGAAGGGGAGCAGAATATGCCACTCTAGGGTATGCCACTTTGGCATATTGATTATTTTGAACTACAGGTACTTGAGAGATGCTGGACACAGGAGGGACACTCTGACCCTCCTTTGATCCCTTAAAGAAGGAGATAAATCTCCCATGTGAAATGGTACCCTCTATCTACCAGGAGGGTAGAGGCATATTTATCACCAGACATAGGGAATTTAGGGCCAAGAAGGCTGTGTAAACAAACCTTGTAACTTCTTCACCAATTTCCTACCTCAATCCCAAACCACTTTGTCTACTCAGTTCTTCATGAATTTATTGTTTCTTTGTCTAAAAAGTATCAAAGCTTCCTGCTTTGGTCACTTCTTTGAGTCTCATGTATTTATGGGGTTTCCATATGTACAAAATTAAATTTGTTTTTCTCCCGTTAATCTGTTTTATGTCAATTTAATTATTTCATTAGCTGAAGAAACAAGAAGGAAAGAAGGAAAAATTTTCCACCCCTACAGCGGATTAGTAAAATATGTTCTAATAAATTTCCACCTCTGATCTTGCTTTCTCCTAATCGTTTTTCACTTCTCATCAAGTGCAATCATTTTAAAGCACAATTCTGATGACTTACTTTCCCTGTCTAAAATCCTTCATTAGCTCTCCTTTAGGTTTATGGTAAAGTCAAGATTCCATAACATGGTTTCTGGTCCTATATGAAATAGACAAAATTTATCTCTCCAAACTTACTGCTCACTGCTTTATTTATTGCCGAATGAAACATGTTATGCGTTCTCCTTCGTGCGGCTCTTTAAAAATTCTCTTCCTTAAACCAAACCACTCCCCATATTTTTATCTGTTTACCTATTACTCATTTTCTATGCTTCACTTTACATATCATTTTCTGAAAGATTTCTCTACCCAACACACTTAAGTTCTATCATAGTGTTAAGTATTCCTCTTACCCCAGCATTTATCATTCTATTTTAAGCATTTGATATATTCTACAAAAATATATTTTAAATATTTGAGAACTCTTCCCCTTTTCCCCCTTGGTCCAGTTTTATCTTATTTAATACATATTTTAAACAATCTGTCCTGTTCTCTCTTCAGGGTTATACCTTTCAGCCTTAGTATGATAACCTAAAAATGTTGGCATGAAACCAATTATTGAACAGCAACTGAAGATTTAAATATCTCACCAGGCTTCCCTGAAACTCATTCTAAGCATCTTATATATCTATTATATTAAAATAAACTAAATCCACACACAACAGAGTAAACTGAATTGCAAAAATAATTCACAATAAATTTATTTAAGAAACATTCACATAACTCTCACCCCATGCCAGCACCTATGTCAGTTTTTGGAGATATGACAGTAAATGACACACTATCTCTGTTTCTTTACAGCTGCAGGTAGATGCAGCAAGACAGCACTACAACATTGTACCAAGGAAGACATGAAAGGGTGATTTTAGCCAGGCTAGGGGAAATGGAATTAAATTTTTCTTTCTATGTCTTGAAGCACACATATTGTTTTTTCAAATCAAATGCAAAAACACAAAATAACAATGTTAAATGACAAAGTCAAATTTATTTAAAACACAAACACACACACCTGCAAGCATGCATGGGTTTGTTCTCTGTGTAACTATTATGACATGAATCTGGCAAATACTCTCTAATCTATTTACATTATTTCCAATTCTAGCTAGCTTGGGAAATTTTCCAAACATACATTATTATATATTTTAATATATTTGCTTATTCATTCTAATGTTTGGCAATTTTATGGTGCCAGTAGTAAATGAAATAACCAGATGATATTGTCCATTTATGGGGTATGTGAAGGGAAGGTGACAGGCATTATCCAGCAAATACCAGAACTTTCTCTAGTGGCCTGGAATTTCAAAGGGATTTTGTGTGGGTGTGCTGATGGTCCCTTGAGAGTCTTAAAAATATAAATAATGATAAGATATGGATGTAAAATCTTAAAGTAATTAAGAGATTTAAAATTAATGTTTATTGTACTAAAATAAAGTTGTTATAGAGCATTTTATATATATTTTTTAATTTTTTAAAAAATTTTAATACAGCAGGTTACTATTAGTCATCAATTTTATACACATCAGTGTATACATGTCAATTCCAATCGCCCAATTCATCACAACACCATTCCCACCACCCCGCAGCTTTCTGCCCTTGGTGTCCATACTTTTGTTCTCTACATCTGTGTCTCAACTTCTGCCCTGCAAACTGGTTCATCTATACCATGTTTGTCACTTCCATATACATGCATTAACATACGATATTTGTTTTCCTCTTTCTGACTTACTTCACTCTGTATGACAGTCATAGATCCATCCACGTTTCAACAAATGACCCAATTTCATTCCTTTTTATGGTTGAGTAATATTGCATTGTACATATGTACCACAACTTCTTTATCCATTCATCTGTTGATGGACATTTAGGTTGCTTCCATGACTTGGCTATTGTAAATAGTGCTGCAATGAACATTGGGGTGCATGTGTATTTTTGAATTATGGTGTTCTCTGGGTATATACCCAGTAGTGGGGTTGTTGGATGGTAATTCTATTTTTAGTATTTTAAGAAACGTCCATACTGTTCTCCATAGTGGCTGTATCAATTTACATTCCCACCAACAGTGTAAGAGGGTTCCCCTTTCTCTACACCCTCTCCAGCATTTGTTGTTTGTAGATTTTCTGATGGTGCTCATTCTAACTGGTATGAGGTAATATCTCATTGTAGTTTTGATTTGCATTTCTCTAATAATTAGTGATGTTGAGCAGCTTTTCATGTGCTTCTTGGCCATCAGTATGTCTTCTTTGGAGAAA